CTCCTCTAACCCTATTTTATTAATCTTTAAAAATTAATGATGACAAGTATGCCCTTAAGTGGGCGGCCAGCTTGGCAATTACATAAAGAAAATAAAACAAGAACAAATAACAGGCCCATTAAGTGAGGCCCATCAACATAAAATAAAAGATAAAAATAAAGGATATCACATAAGCAGCTGTTAGGGCCCATTCAGCCCAGTCTCTTTACACTCCTTACTGAAGAAAGGGCCTAAGCCAGGAGCCATTACAAGTGTTACCCTACCCACATTTTCAGATGAAGGACAAGTGCAGACTGAGCCAGCCCGCATCATTGACTTTAGATGGGTGCGCTGTGGTGGTAGAGTCATTTCGGAAGCACTAGTTGTATGGTCTAAACTTCCAGAGGGGGATACCACCTGGGAGCCTTAAGGCCTATTTGATTCCTCTTAACTCTTATCTCTTAAGAGGAATCTTTTAACTTTAAGAGAAAAATGGTTGTTCGTTTCCTCTTATCTCTTATCTCTTAAAGTGCAATTATACAATTTTTTGTTTTCCAATGATACCCCCAAAAAAGAGTTTAGAGGAAAGAAAAGTTCACCAATACCAATATACCTCTTAACGTAATTATTGCACTTTCAGATGTCAGACTTCAGAGCAAATGAACAGGCCCTTTCTTGGATCTGCAAACGAACTTTCCCACTTTAGACCTTTAGGGCAAGGTCTCTCTAAAGGAGGGAGGGATTGTTAAGACTGCTGAAACAGAACAACAAAAAATGGTTAGCCAGTTTTACAAGAGTAGGCCATGTCAACAGTCCAACTAACTGACCATCCAGTTGCAGCGGTTTTAACAGAAAAAGAAATTAAAGAATGTAAGTGAGGGAAACTCTGTAAAACAGTGTAAATAATCAAAGACAAGGGAAATAGGGGGGGACCTTTCAGCATCATTCTCTCTCTCTAATTCAGGAGGTTGTCTCCCTCGAAGAGCTGTGTTAGGCAGGTTCCTAACAGCATGATAGGAGTATAGGACCAAACACATCGAGGTTGACAGATACTTTATTAGGGAGAGGCTGTCCTTAGGCGAGGTGTGTTTGCCTTATGCCACATCAGAGTTGCAGTTAGAAGATGTCTTCACTAAAGGAGTTGCAAAGCACAAGCTTGAACATGATCTATGCAAGTTGGGAATGATTTACATCTTTTCCCAACTTGAGGGGGAGTTTTGACAGTTCAGCTACTGGGCCAACAACTCTATGGGCCCAATTATCTTTTATATTTTTATTACCTATTATGTTTCTTTTAGTTGTTGTGCCTAAGCCCTCTTGTTCTTTTAATTTTTAAGGGGTGTTTAGTCTTTGTACTACATCAATTAAATATAAATACAATTAGAGGAGGCGACTAGAGAACATTTTGCCTCTCTCCTCATCTTTCTCTCATTCTTTTTCTCTTCTTTGTCCTTAACAAAACCATTGTTCTTTTAATTTTTTAGGCAATATTTCTTTGATATTTCAGTTTCTACTATCCCATTCTTTCTCGACAATCAAACAGACCATTATTTTAACTTAATTTCTAGTGACCAAGACATTTCGTCAAGGCTTTAATTACTGTACACTTGATTTCTTCCTCTTAATGCTTTATATATTAAATTTACTATCCTTTACCACACAATGACTTTACTTTTTGATGTTTAATTATTATTCATATGTGAATTTTATTGCTTCTATTTAGATGTTGCTTATTTCCTTTTATAGGTTAAGCCATAATGGCAGGGAGAAATCACATGCCTCGTCATATTCCTGAAGGTCCATATGCTCGAGGTCCTGTGCCTCGACCACCCCATCCTGCATTGTTGGAGGAAGAACTTGAGATGCAGCATATTGAAATCCAGCGGCTCTTGGCTGACAACCGGCGGCTGTTTGAAGATCGTCTGGCACTGCAGCAGGAGCTAGGTGCTGTAAAGGAGGAGCTTCATTGCTTGAATATTGCCATTGCAGACATCCATGCTGGGAAAGAAGCACATTCACAGGAACTGATTGAGAGAGGTTTGAAGCTGGAAGTTGATCTTCGGGCAACTGAGCCTTTGAGAAATGAAGCTGTTCAATTACGAGCAGAAGTTCAGAAATTGAATTCTGTTAGGCAGGATCTGGCTGTGCAAGTTCAGAGCCTTACACAAGATTTAGCAAGGTTTCAAGCCGATAGTCAACAAATTCCTCTCTTGAGGGCAGAATTAGATGGTTTACATCAGGAGGTTATGCGTGCTAGGTAATAATCAACAATATTGATTGAATTGCTTAGTTTTTTTGTTGACTTGTTTTATTTTTTCCATCTTTCCTGGTCATTTTTCTTCACTGCACTTTCTGTACTGTATTACCTTGGTAAACAACTCTAAAAGCACTATTCTTTTATAGGACTGCTTTTGAATATGAGAAGAAGGCAAATGCTGAGATGGTGGAACAGAGGCAAGCAATGGAGAAGAACTTGGTTTCCATGGCTCGTGAAGTTGAAAAACTTCGTGCAGACCTTGCAAGTGCTGATGCCAGGCCATGGGCTGCTGGTATATCCTGTCTTTCACCCCTTTATATTTTCTCCACTATTAGCATGTATATTCTTTATTGATATTCCTCATTCTTCCAATCCATATTTCAGATTGAGTATTTCTACTTATAGAGGTTTTATTGTTTCTGTTTTTATCCTAATACTTTATCATTCATGTTCTGGTTTCTCAAGGTGGTTCTCATGGAATTAAACTTAGTAGCCCTGAAGGGCACTTCCTTTCTTCCTATGGGGATGGATATGGGCTTCACTCGGTATGGCTGATTATCTTATTTGCCTTTTCGCTAATTACCAGTCAAATTGTGAACATGTACCAACTTTAGGAATGAACTATTGTATCTTGTCAGTTTCTTGAGATTTTGGTTTGCTGCTTCACAGGGTGTTGCTGATAAGGGTCCATTGTATGGTGGTGTTAGATCTGGTTCATGGAGTGCATTTGACAAGTCACGCCTTGCACATCGCTGAGATCTGAAAGATCTGCAGTTTGAAATGATAAAGCATGACCTAGACCTTTTTCTTGGCTGTTTACATGGCAATATTCAATGGTTAAGGGTTAGGTTCAACAATTTCACAGCACAGTGATCTTTGATCTCAATATTGTTAGACATAATAACCTGACTTATTATTACAAGACTTGTTATGTACCCTTTACTTGTATCTACTAAACACTACGGTACTAGTTCAACGTTTTGTTTTGGACATTCTTGTCTATTTCTGTCTGAAGGTATTCTTCTTTTTCTAAGATCTTATTTATTTGTGCCTTGTGCTTTGATTGGTCCTCTTCTGAATTGGAGATCCTATTGAAGTAGGTAATGTCTTAATTTCATTGAATATTTTTGATCATAAATGGTGTTCCAGATCCCACATCTGTTCTTTTATTATTGTTAGCTTTCTAGAACCATTAGAGAACTCTTTTATTTTCCACTCTTGACCATAAGTATTTGGATACATATCGATGATGCTGTTACGGGGTGAAATGGTCGAACAGTATTTGTATTGCTGACTCAAATAGTAGAAATGAGGCTTTGTTAAGTTGAATTGAGTTGAGTTGGTTGGCTGTGACATATGGACAGAAATGCCAGTGGTATATGGAGACTGAAATGCCAGTAGTAGATACTGTATACAACAAGCATTTGATGTTCTGACCTCTCTGTGATGCATTCCAATATGAAAGCTCATCTCCTTAAGCAAACATGAGACTATTTTTGAACTTTGAGTAGTGAGTATATAAGTATATTGTACCTCTATGTAAGCTTGTCTACTTATATGTGCGATGGTACATCACATGGTTTGGGGCTTTGTTATGGTTTGCTGGATTTCAGAATGAATTGTGAACTTCTAGATATTATGTGTAGTATAAAGAAAATCTGTTCAAAACATATTACTAGTGTTGTAGTTATGTGAGATCCACCATTAGAGGTGGTTCTACTAATTTGGTGCAAAGACTTTTAAGAAAGCAGTGAAATGAGAAAAAAAATTCTATTTCAAGACGTACTTCTCCAAGATATTCAATATTGTCAAGATGTGTAGTGCATCACGGTATTTCCTTGGCTGCATAGAAGAAATCTTGTGCATTATTTCGGGGGCAGTGTTCATCTCTATATTATAGCTAGCATCTAATAGAGGACAGTTTCGTATTCTTGTTGGATGTAGTCACTTGAGTATTTTCTTGCACACTTATATGATCATTGAAATTTAGGGGGCAGATGGCATTTAAAAGTGCATGATGTGGATGATTGTGGTGTTAAAGTATATGAACATGTGAGTTCTCATTTATGTACTGGATATGGATAACTGATTTACTGGTTGAAGGTGCATGCATTTACTTGGAGTTGTTTGGGTATTACCCAACATTGATACCTGCTATCTAGGATCTTAGGAGGGGTGGACTGGATAAGGACCTGACCTTTGGATTTTAACACAAAGTTGCCTCTCTCAGACTCAGGTGTCCGGGGAATGGGGTACACCATTTGACTGTTGAAGTGGACTGTTGTCTTTAGGGATGAATGGTAGTCTGAAAATAATCTGTTTGCATCTATTTTTTATATCTCAGATGTTTATATGTTCTGTTGATGTTATATTTTAGCAGTATATTTGAAGTTTTGTTCTCTAATTTTGAGATCTAATCTTATATTTGTTTGAGGTTTCTTGGATGAGGCATATTTTAACTTGGGATCATTTCATGTTAGATTCATGGCAATTACTGTTCATTGTGTAACTTGTTTTCTCTTCACAGCTCTGGTCCATTTATTAGGTGCAGTATAAGCTCAAAATTAAAGCTCCATTTTGTTTTGACCTTATGGATGAAGAAGAAACAGAGATGATTGAGATTGTGGATGTATGTCATGACGTTCTGGGTCTCAGTATGCCTTCATTTTATTATGTTGTGGGAGATTAAATGGTGACGTATTTATCTCTCTTATTTGCATGCTGATTAGAATTGGGAATGCTATTTCCTTAAAGTGGGCTTGTTTGGTTAAAGGATCAGTTAGATTTTGGTGGTTAGTGGAGCATTAGTGGCATAACAGAGGAGATATAAATTGTTGTTTATCTAGTTCTTTCCTAGAGAGTAGTCATTGAAATTGATCATTGTCTTTTTTTTTAATTGTAAACCATATGAGTGGATTGAATGGTGGCATATGATACTTGTAATAAATTAAGTTCAAGAAGTGGTCCTTTATCTCTCTTTTTCCTATTCATTTAATCCTTGTCTTTTTCCCTCTAGATTTATTTTTGTTATGAATTCCTAATTTTTAATTTGTTTGGTTTGCCATTTCCTTATAATTAAATGGCTATATAGACTGGATACCTACAAGAAAAAAACTAACATTATCCACTTTAAGTTGAGATGCTCCTGGAATATCTGAGGAGATATTTGTAGTCTTGCAGTGAGATGATCAGTTCACTACATGGTTCCTTAGGCAAGTATTTTCCTTATTCTATGTTTTCTTCTGTGCTCCCATTGGTTAGTGTTTTGTTTTCCAGACTGAACTTATGTCTGATCTGCTTATATTTGTCCTGTTCTAAAATATTTAATTTGTATTTTACCTGATTTCTTTTATGTCTTAAAACACTCGAACAATTTAGTAAATATTATTACTGGTTTTCATATAAATAAGTCATCTCAAGTTTCTTCCTGTTGTGTCATAGGCTATTTATTGTCTTTGTTTTCATCTGGATGGTGCAGCATATTCTTTTCATATACCTTATTCAAGAGTGTATGTGGGTCATACATGCTAAGTGCAATCTATTAGCTTCCCTTGCTTTTGCCTTGTTCAGGATGGTGGGAGTATGGTTGTTATGAGCAGTAGTGCTTCAAAAGAAAAGTTGCCTGGAAATTTATGCTGTAGAATGTTGTGTTCATGGTTAATGATGCTGTACTAGGTTTAAATGTGGGAAAGAAACAATTTGGAGCTGTAAAACTGAATAGCCACTCTATTATGGTCATTTGTTTATGTTATTTTCATTTGTTATTCAATTCTCTAGAATTTGAGCAATTAGAATGTACAAAGCAGTTACTCAAGGGCATGAACAATAATAGTAGAAAGAAAAATGTCGTTTCAATGAATTGCTCGAGGCTGTTCATAGTTTCTGTTCTGCAAGTTGAAGGTTCTGAAAGGACTGTGTCAAGGGGTAAAATAACCTGGTTCAGGTAGTGAAAAAGGATCAATTGGTAATTCCTTAATAGATATGTGGTCTTGGGTAGATTGCCTGAAGGAACTGAATTTTGCTTCTTACCCAATTTAGGTGCGATAATGATGACATTGAGCGTATTAGAAGGAAAAATGATTGAGTGGTTACTTGTACCAGTTGTTCTCTTTCTCAGGCCAAGAAACCTAAATTTCCTTTTGAGTGGCACATATTAAAGGTGATTGCTGTAATGACTACTCAAAATCTTGTCTTGGAAGCAAATCTGGGATCAAGGAATACCTTACGTGTGTGTGTAAAGAGTAAAGATATAAGTTAACATTATATAGTCAAATTTAACTTTTATGACCTGCACAAATATCAAGGCAAGTATCTGCTTTATATAGTTCAGATATATTCTTGCTGATTGATTCTACTGCTTCAAGTTGGTCAGGTATTCTATACCTCAGTTCTATTAAATTTGGAGATACAGATATCAAATTCTAAGATTGCAAAAATAATCCAAGGGTTGAGGATATTCATGATGGTTGAGATCAGCTGGATTTGTAGGGGTTGTCAATGAAGAGGGTTTAGAGTCAATTGCAGGTCAGAGAGATTTTTTGAGTAATTATTGAAGCTGCTTTGGATTGCAAGGTTGGAGAGGTTCCTTTTATTTAGTTTGGTCTTCAAATTGGATGGTAGGGCATCTATGGTTTCTTTGAGGGACCCAATTATTGAGAGAATTGATAAGAGGTTGGCAGCTTGGAATGCAATGTATCTTTCTCTTTGAGCTCTGATTACTTTTGTCTAGAATGTTCTCTTAAGCATCCGGGGGTAGTGGCAAAGAAATAGAAAAGATTCAAAGAGATTTTTTTTTTCTTTTTTTTTTCTTTTATGGGTAGGAACGAGCACGGAAAGGAAGTTTCATTTGGTTAGTTAGGGGAGACCAAAAAACAAAGTAGATCGGGCATTAGATGAGTAAGGCTTTTTAATAAAGCTCTTTTGGCTAAATGGCATTGCAGATTTGGGTGGGTTGGAGAGTGGAGTCTTTGCAGAGAGGAGTTATTGTTGGCAAGTATGGGGTGGTAGGATTTGGTTGGGAGGTGTCTTCAAATTATAGGTTGCGTGTTTGAAAAGGAATAATGCTATTCAAGCAAGAGTTTATAAGCCATACCATATTTGAGGTGGGAATGGAACAAATGTTAGATTTTGGGAAAATGAATGGTGTCGAATTAGAAGGCTTTGTGAAATTTGTCCAAGGCTGTTTTGGGTATTGGATCATAAGGTGCAAATTAACCAATGCTTTGAAGTGAGGGGGGAGCACATTGTGTGGAATCCAAAATTCAGAAGAGCGCTATTTGACTCGGAAATGGAAGAATGCATTTTATTGCTTAGTAAATTAGAAGAGGTTAAGATTTCAAGTGGTGAGAGGGATGTGATTTGGTGAAAGGAATGCAAGAATGGAAGATTCACATTTAAATCCTTATATTCAGCCTTAATAAGGGGTCAAGTTGAAAATTCTCGTTTGGGAGGTATCTGGGGTAATCCTATTTCCTTGAGAGTTGAAGCATTTGCGTGGTTAGTGGCCATGGATGATGGTATTTTAATTGCTGATTATTTAAAGAGC